AATGTTGGAAAGTATGTCTGTGTTCGAGAATCTGCTGAAGGCTGAATATTTAATCTATACATCCACGCCCAGTTCTGAAACCAGCTTAGTTTTCTTAGCTTTGCTCTTCACGAGCTCTAGTTAGACGTCGAAATATTATTGAGCCTAATAGTTTAGACACTATATTAGTTAAACTGATTCCTCTATGATTTTGTCTTTTCTTATAAACTGGGACGATCAGCGATCGAGACCAGTCATTTCGGATTAAATCGATTCCCCAGATTTTAGCCAAGATCTCGGTTAATCTAACTGCTAAAACTGGACCACCATCCTTAAAAATCTCAGGGCTTAGTTCATCAGGTTCTGCTGCTCTCTCCCGCTTTGGATTAATTATAACCTTTTCAACCTCACTAATAGTTTTAGGACTTACATCAATATGCAATTCTGATTTAGTGGAGATAGTGGGTAACTGAAATGTGACTGAAGGTCACTTAAACTGTTCCCTAAATTGTTCTGCCCATCAGTCCAATCTCCTGGATTGAAAGTGCATAATAGTTCCTCCTTTTCTTGAGTCAGTTTCACTAACAGCCGGATTTTTAATACCCGTTTTGCTGATAAATCTGAACACTTTTCTGCTGTTACTTGTCGTTATTGCCTTCTCCATTTCTTCTGTATTTGCTGCCCACCATTGCTCACGATTCTTATTTAACTTCATCCGAGTTGCAACTAGTGAGAGTGTGGGCAGAGACAATGAAAAGGCAATGGGGTGTTTCCCTATCTTTTCGAGTGCTTACTGTTCCTTTTAGTCGAATAACGCACAAACAACTGTTTATTAGAATCTAGTTTATCAGAACCTGTTCTGCTTTAAAATTTAATGCTACACCTATGCCGGCGAAGTGGATGGAAGTAGCAGTGGGGTCTCCAGATACTCAGACGGTTAATTGTGCCAGTTCTTTATATTAAAAAGGTGAGGTCAAGTGAATAGCCGTACTTGGGATCCTGTATGAGCATTTTGGAGACGCAGCATACATCGTTGATGTGGGATTTTAGACTGCCATCTAAAGCCTGTTCTCCTATCTGACACAACGTTCGAATATTAATAGCTTCAACATGCAGATTTGAGCGTGGTTGTAGGAGACTCAATCATTAGCATTGATGGTATGTGTTTGGAAAGATAAATTAAAAGGGTTATTCATAGTTGGAAAAATTATTAAGAGGCGATGTAAGTTTTCGATCGTCAACAAGACCTCGGGTGCTGCTTGAGCTATGAGGGTGAATGCCACTTCTTTGTTGCCCACGTTGTGAAAGGCTATTTCTTTCTTGAGAGATCCGAAAAAGATCTGAAATATTGGTGGTCTTATCGCCCTGGAAGTGTGACAGCAGAGCCCAAGAAACAGCTGTTTGGGGCCGGTCACGCACAGCCTTTTTGTTGGAAGGTTTGGATGTATTGTCGCTTCAGAAGGCTTACCGTCAGGGACGGAAATCCGTATGGTAAGGTGTGAAGCAAAGTTTTAGGGTAGACCTTTTCTAATCCTTTCTTTCCGTTGTGAGAAGGTAGCATCGCTGCAGCTGTTGGTTATTCTAGAGAGACTACTGCTGTCACAATCGTTTGCAGTCAGCAGTACGACTTCGCCCTCAGACCTTGAGGTGCTTCTTTTAGTCTTACCGTTCTTCAACCGACCTGCCTGGCATGGTAGGACCCAAAGAAACATGTGGCTCAGCCAATATAGCTCGGTTGGGTCGTCACGATAGGCTAGCCCGTCTACCACCTCAGTTTAGCAGCTACGATCAAAATGTTGTTCTCACATCGACTATCTCATAGTTAGCCTCACCAAACAAAACGATGCATATTTTTATTTGTTAGTTGTACTAGTCTATTTACCATGATTGATTTTATTCATTTGCTTTATATATTTCAGTTGCACAAACCTTCATCTAACATTCATACATTGATTTTGTTTGGCAAATCAATAATTTGTTGTTGTTGTTGTTGTTCGACAATTTTATTGCTTAGTTTATTCAAACTAATATTTTTGTATAAACTGAGATTTTAGCGAAAAAAGGAACAAGACACATTTATGTCATAATTTACTTGCGAGTAATTAAACAATATGCAAGTAACCGAAATTGACTTTAGTGATGCTAAACATTACCTATCCATTATATCATATGTATTAATGGGTACGAAAATTCATTATTGTTTTATACTTTTGATCGTGTTAGAGAATTAATAAATAAGTGTTGCCACTCTAGGTTACAAATATGACAATAATAATGATAATTAGTCATTGAAAATTACGTTGAACCATGTGCTGTGCTGTGAGTGATTTTCCTAAACCTCTGGAGTTGTTCTTTCCAATACTTGTTCTGTAGTTGTTTATCCCCTCTCTTTTTTAACTTCGTATTTTGATTGTATTATAAGTGATGTTTAAAATGCTAGAATCTCTCAGTCACATCAAGTTACTATATAAAAAATTTTATCCTTTGGATACTACTTCTTTCTTTTGTTTAATAAGGTAACTTCATTTGTTCCATAATTTTTTCCCAATAATTTATTATTGTTTTGGACTACGAATTCTCTGGCACAAATATCTATCAGTCTACACAAACTAGTGCTAGAAGGAATTGATAAGATGAGGAGGCTGTAATAATAACAACTATAGAGAAAAGCTAATCATAAAAAGTTCACTCTAGAAGTAGCAAATGACACGAAGTTGGATGTTGAATAAAAAGTAGAGAAAGAATTCAACTACACTGCTACAATTGTTTTTGAACAGTTCTCCCTCGTAGGTTAAGATTATACCCCCCAAAACGACAACTTGAAAGCTTTCACCTACTGACACGGCTCAGTTACACTGAATAATTTAGATTTGGTTCATCATCACCTGAAATCACATTGATGATACCTAGCAGTAAGCAGAAAGGAAACGGTGGCTGGTTCAGATGGGTGTTTCTATGTTTTTGTTTGTTAAACAGTAACAATAATAATTTTTAGCTGCTGAAATGTTTTCCGTGTAAGAGAGTTGAGACCCTTTTTTCGCCCAACTGTGCACGTGATATATTTCAAATAATGTCAATGCAAAGTAGAAACAATTTTGATCCAAATGGCACCTGATATACAAATACATATTCAATACTATTGTTTGATTGTTCTTCTGATTAAGTTGTTTAAACATATTTACGTAAAATAAGGTAATAGATTTGGGATAAAGAAAATTTAAATATACGGAAAGTTATTTGTTGGGGATTAAATTTTCTCATTCTTCATATTGAAGACTGTAGATGATATTTCTGTACTGATGTGTTGATATCCCATTTTAGTTAAAAGTTATAGTAAATTAAGATTGTGGTTAGAAGGTGAATCAAGAACACAGGTTTCGTCCTATCTGGGATTCGCTAGACGAATTTACATTCATTCCCAATGTCAGTGTTCACACATCGAAATTCCATCCATAATATCAACAATGAAAATATTCTGAAAAATAACTCCATACAAGTTAGAAAAGTTAGCACCTTTCCGAACTCATTAAATTTTTAATTAATACTTTGGCGTTTCAAGCGACATTTACTGCGTTTGAGTTCCTGTATAATTATCAACACTGGGACCCCCAGTTACACTCAGATGATAAATCCAAAGCAGGACGAAATGCATGTTGTGGACTCTGCGGTTCTCCAGAATTCAAATGTATTAATACAAAAGTAAAACAAAACGTGTGCTTTTTACATGTAATGTATACGATTAGGTCAGTAAATTTATCGTTTTTTTCTCAAGCCAATAAGGTTTATCAATGCATCAACCCTCATCCCATTGTTTTTACGCTGTGTTAAGTTTTCTTACTTCCATATTTTAGACCTAGTACCTAATATCTTCAGTTCTATATACATCGTCATCTATTTCCCACTTGATCAGACATTCTATACACATGGCATGTACGGATCGGCTTCTCTTATAGATTAGTTTACGTGATCATGTAATCTTGTTTATTTTCAAAACATGTAATATATATATATATATATATATATATATATATATATATATATATATATATACGTATATGCACCGGGTCAATTTAGTTGCTCAGTGGAACATTTTTATCAGAATCTAAATTTCCTCTCTGTTTTATTTTGTGGAAAGTCAGTCTATTTTTATCAATCTTGTCTGATTTGTCACATTTGATTAATGATTTTGAAATGATAATATTTGTAAATTGGTTTACTGATATTGAAAATATTCATTAATCATACTTTTGTAAATGCAGTTTATTTTTACTCTGAACAATAATATCCATTAAATACTCATTTTATTAAGAATTTTCATGATACAAGAACTCTAGACAACTGTGTACCCATCACTTTTTTCAATGCTGACCTTGTTTAACCAATCGTCTGTTTGTATTTGTGTTTCTATCGGCAATTATCTTTTTCTCTCAGTTTAAGTGTTGAACTCATTATTGTCCATCTTTTTTAAGTGTTTTTTTTCACATATTTATGCCTTATGTAAAATATGCTTACTTGGATCATTTCATATTTATTTCAAGCAGAACGTTGTTTTTAACTGACAGTTTGTTTTTATAGTTAGTAATTGTGGATTATTATTTTTTCTATCATTGTCTATTGATTAATGAATGGGATTGTGTAACTTTTTATAGTTTTGCTTTCCTACATTCTATTGACAATAAATATGTCATTAGTGACTTTTATGCTAACTTTATAACAAGAAGTTCTATTATTTTTAAAAAATCTCTACTGGTTTATTTTTCACTCATTTAAATACTCTTCAAAGTACGAACTGTTGGTTTGGTTAATGTGAAAATGAAACTTAATCAATCCATCTTAACCTTGTGTTAGTTAGGAAAGATGTTTAATACGTATTTGTTAAATGTCTTGATGAAAACAAATAATTTATTCTCTATTTCTGGGTATGCACTATTTTAATTCGAACGTGACGTTTCTGTAGGATTATTTTTACTCGATTCTCTAAGAAACTGGATATTATTTCATTTTGATTCACTTCATTGTAGGTTCTTGTGATGCTGCTGATTTTCTTCGTGAAGCTCAAACAATGAAACGCTTACATCATCCTAATCTGATACAATTGTACGCTGTTTGTACACAGACAGAACCTTTCTACATAGTTACAGAATATATGTCCAAAGGTTCTTTACTAAACTACTTACAATCTCCTGAAGGTCATGCACTAGATATGCAATGTTTAATTATGATGGCTGCTAAAATAGCTTCTGGTATGGCGTATCTTGAATCCAGGCGTCATATTCATCGAGATTTAGCTGCTAGAAATGTTTTAGTTGGCGAACAACATGCTGTGAAAATAGCAGATTTCGGTCTTGCTCGTATGATTCATGTAAGTATATTGTATTAACAAATTATTTGGTCTTCATTCCATATCCTTACTGTTTTAATTATTTATTCAGTATTTTCTTATAATTTATAAATGACAAGTAGATTAGTTTTCTTCAATGTCTTTCTGCTTTTATTTGTACGCCTATTCATATATTCATTAATTCTTAACTTAATCATTGTTATCATTTTAATGTTTATCATTTACGCGATTTTTGTCGCGTTTGTATTCTCGTTGATTCTTGGGTATGCATGTGTGATATATACAGTGGTTTCTGTAATCTGTGACATCATCTTATCAACCAATAGGTCGCATGTTTGTAACCCCCTCCACTTAGTTGAATTCATACCACGGGATAGTACCAATAATCTTTATAAGATTTTTATAACTAATAGGCGAGTACATCAACTTGTACTTGGCAAATGAGTTTTATTACATTACTGTTAGCGGGACATAGACTGGATTAAAGTGTGCTCAATGCACGATTGCGTCGATGCACGCTAATTAGCTAATTCTTATCCAATCAGCGCTAGCCGATAATTGGAGGACACTAAAATCTTGTCATCTAAAAACCATAAGTATACTAACGTTTTTCTGATTATGCTTCTTACTTCCATCTACCCTCGTTATTTGGGACATAATTTTTTTCCTATTCAACTGTGTTCTGATTTGGGGACTTGTCGAATGAATCGATGTCCAAGAATATCAAGCAATAGTAATAGCTGAGTTGTAATAAAGAGTGAATTATAACAATTACTTATATAATGTATGTACATAGTTTTCCAATTACGTCTTCATATCAGTGACAAACTGTTAGTTTTCCAAAAGAATAACTTTTAATTATGTGCTGAAGGGGGTGAGCATTATAGTCAGTCAGTCATGTGAAACTTAGAACATGATGCACCACAGCGAGCTTAAATAATTGAGGCGAATCCCATAGTATTAACAGTATCAATAGTAGTATTAATAGTGGAAAAGATTAAATACTGAGAAATCTAAAATATGAAAAAAGGAAATGCTGGGACTCACGTTCTAAGACCCCGATGAGAGAGATATCGAATATTATCCAGACATATAAAGCATTTCAATGAATATTTTGTAAAGTTCATTCAACTTATTTGTCGTGATTGGGATATAGTTCCAGGGAATTGAAGGCGACTAAAAGTGGAACACTTCCAAATGATGAGAGACCAGAGTCTTATCCAGCTGTTAAGAATTTAAAACGTTTCTTAAGTGACCACATTGTCTAAATTGATTCTTTCTTCGCACTGCTAATTTTCTTTGTTTTCGGATAGTAAAGTTGTTTATAGTGTAAGACTTATTCGTTTAGAATTATGTTATTTAGTAACTTAGACCGATAAATTCTATTTTATTTTTTCTATCAGCAATCGATTCGTTGTATAAGCAGTTCACTTTAATGATTAGGGTTATTAAAGGGGAATGTTTGTTGTTGTTGTATATGTGTACGTACTTCCATTAGTTCAAACTTTTTAATCACGAGTTTCTCTTCTCTCAAAAAAAAACTTTATTTTATGGACTTAATGTGGTAACTTTCTTTGTGAAGCAAGTGTCATACATAAACTATTGATTAGTTCATCCCTATTTTGTCACGAGTAAATAAAATTAATCAAAATGCATCTTGATTAAGTTTTGTTGCATTTTATTTAAAAAAACCTACTTTACAGATTCAGTTGATACGTGCGCACCAATTACAGAAGTATTCAATTAATGTTAACCACTTTCTTATACATCTGTTTATCACAGTATATATATATATATATATATATATATATATATATATATATATATATATATATATATATAGAGAGAGAGAGAGAGAGAGAGTTTATTTGAGCTTTTATTTCCTAGGGAAATTTCCAGTGTTAATCTGAACACAATCTTCTGTTCAACTTCACAATTTTTTTGAAGTTTATGTTGGTATTTATCGTCGAGTTAGGGAAACTTGCCGTCTTAAAACAATTTCATTACTTTATGTTTATCTGGAAAAAATTATTTCTATTGAACTAGCGAAGTATAATAATGTTCTCTGTAAACCTAATTCTTGTAACGTTTTTAAATTCGATTTAGTTAATATGTTGTATTTCTTAGTCATTTTAACGGTTTGTTCATAATATGCTTTGGTTATTCGACTTTTGATGAAACTATATAAGAATTATGTAGTAGTAATCAAAATAAATGTTTTTAAATATGAGTTAGTGTCCAAGTAGATGCCTATGTACTCTCTTTGAAGCCTGGTTTTTGTGTGAGGACTGATGTTCTGACCTGAGACTCGGTGGTTAAAATGTATTAACTATTATACTATCATCTCTTTTCCTAGTTCAAACTGATAAATGTTTATAACATTACAGAAGATGTAAAAGCTAGCAGAACCCGAAAGATGTTAAAATAAATGGAAGGTAAAAAAACGAAAAATTATCTAGTAAAATGATGTTCATGATTCAGAAAGAAAGATCATTAGGAAGTGTGACGACGGACCACCGGTGAACTCGAGGAAGCTGTAAGAGGCTCATAAGGAGCCGAAGACGTTCCATCCAATCACCTGTCGGAAGAATGTTCTAGAATTCCAACGTGTAGCTTCCCCATTGGATAATGCTAATAACCCCTGTACGCGGATTGGAAGATTGTAATGATGATTTCGTTCCCACTAAAAACTATAAATACCTGATAATTTTGTACTATGTTTGACACTGTTTGGAATAATATTCCTTTCGTTAGTCTTCTGTCTTCTTATTGCGACTTGGAAGGGTTTGGTGTTCCAGTGCTCAGTTATACGCGGTTGTATCAAGAAAATCAGCTTTTTCAAGATATAACATCTGGCGACGGGTTATTGTATCAATATGTCATTTACCTTGGAACAATTTGAAGCCTTATTGGAACGTCAAGAAAAGTTCCAGATGCGCATGCTAGAGATGCTAACTCAGAAAATGAACCTGGATCAAAAAGAAGTTACAGATGATCCCTTCAAATCTCATGTTGACCAGATTGTTAATTCTATCCATGAATTTAATTTTGATGGTTCAGCTGGCATTACTTTTGAAACTTGGTTCAAGAAATATGAAGATTTGTTCAAGGTCGACCTCAAAAAACTTGATGACGCCGCTAAGGTCAGAATACTCTTGCGAAAACTTGGAACTGTTGAACATGAACGTTACAGTAACTTTATCCTTCCAAAGAATCCAAGAGATTTTTCTTTCGATGCAACGATTGAAATTTTGTCGCAAATCTTTGCTGAACAGTCATCCTTGTTTAATATTCGTTATCAATGTCTCAAGATGACAAAAGCAGGTGATGATGACTGGGTGAAGCATGCGGGTCTAGTAAACCGTGAATGTGAGCGCTTCAAACTATCAGCAATGACAGAAGACCAGTTTAAGTGTCTCGTATTTGTGTGCAGCCTCCAATCTCCCGAAGATGCCGATATTAGAACTAGAATTTTGAGTAAAATTGAACAATGTCCGAATATGACACTACAAGAAGTAACCGCAGAGTGCCAGAGATTGGTAAACCTAAAGCATGACACTTCGATGGTCGAAAATAATGGCCAGTTGCCATACGTTCGTGCTGTAAGCGGAAAGAACGATTCTCGCTCAAGAAAGGTATCGCACACAGATAATCAGCCTTCATCTCCATGTTGGTCTTGCGGTGGTTGGCATTATAAAAGGTTCTGCCCATATAAAGAACATTGTTGTAGCAAGTGTCATCGCAAGGGACATAAAGAAAACTGCTGCAGAAAAAGAACCCATAAACGACATTCTTTGAAACCCTACTCGAAGAAATACAGATTTAGTGCTCGAACTAACAAAATATTGGTATCACATAATCGAGCACGAATTTGCCGCCAAAGAAAGTATGTAACTTGGATATAAATAAAAAGCGTGCCCGCCTGCAACTCGACACCGCTTCTGACATCACACTTATTAGTCGGAGAACTTGGAATCTTATCGGTAAACCACAGGTGCTCCCAACGACCCAGTTAGCTCACAGCGCATCTGGAGGAAAACTAAATATTGTTGGAGAGGTTTGTTGTACAGTCTCGAAAGGAAATGCGAAAACGAATGCAACTTTATATCTTACACAGAATCCAGGACTAGATTTGCTAGGTCTAGACTTGATAGAAGCACTTCAATTAGCAAATCACCCCATTAACCACATATGCAGCGCAGTGAGAACCAGTAAACCGGTGGAAAAGGATCTGAAGAGTGTTGTATTGGAAAGACACAGTCAAGTGTTTATGGAAGAGTTGGGGGAATGCAAAAAGGTTAAAGCACTATTGATTCTTAAACCGGGAGTCACCCCCGTCTTCAGACCAAAACGTCCGGTACCTTATGCAGCGCTACCTATTGTTGAACAAGAATTAGAGCGTCTGCAAAGAAGTGGAATAATCGAACCAGTAAACTTCTCTGATTGGGCAGCTCCAATAGTGATTGTTAAAAAGCCTAATGGAAGTATCCGGTTATGTGCAGATTATTCAACTGGATTAAATGAAGCGCTTGAAGCCCATCAATACCCATTGCCGGTACCAGAGGATTTATTTGCGAAACTGAATGGGGGTAAGTATTTTGCGAAATTAGACCTATCAGACGCTTATCTACAGATTCCGGTAGCGGATGAGTGTAAGCATTACTTGACAATAAACACTCACAAGGGATTGTTCCGATATAACCGACTTCCTTTTGGAGTAAAGACCGCCCCTTCAATCTTCCAACAAGTTATGGACACTATGTTACAAGACATTCCTGGTACCGCGGCTTATCTCGATGATATATTGATCATGGGTACAGACTATGCTGATTTAGAGAATAAGGTGGATACGGTTCTCAGACGCATAGCAGATTATGGATTCAGGCTGCGTGCCGAAAAATGTGATTTTTACATGGAGCAAGTCCGGTATTTGGGATTCATAATTGATAAAAACGGGAGAAAACCTGATCCTGAAAATGTCGAAGCCATTAAGTCCATGCCTCCACCCACGGATGTGTCAA